CTCCTCCTCCTCCTCCTCCTCTTCCTCCTCCTCCTCTCCTTCCTCCTCCTCCTCCTCCTCCTCCTCCTCCTCCTCCTCCTCGGGTCGCCTACGGCCCCGGGGGACATCGTGCAGTCGGGGGTGGACAGACCTCCTGCCCTGACACGTCGATTAGTGAACTGTCCGTTTTCATTCTCGAGGGGGCGCCGTGGCCCGTTAGTTTCCAGGCTTGCGCCCGCCAGGTTGGGGCCTCAGGTCGTCTTCACTAAACCACGTTCTACTAAAGGGGGATCTGTCCATCCCCGACTCGATTCCCCAGAAAATATGGGAAAATATAGGAAGTGGGGGGGAAGACAAAAACCCCAGAAAATATGAGAAACTATGGGGAATCATTTTATTTGTGTGTATTTATTTGTGTGTCCTTGGGCCCCTTCACTAACACGGCCTCGGGCAGTCCGCATATCGCTCCGAGGCGCTCCAGAGGGCGCGAGGAGCTCGCATCAAGTCGGGCCTGTCTACGCGGGGAATTTTCAACAATAGTCAGAATTTAGTCCAGGGACGATGTTTTTGTATTGCTTGTCCATTTGGAGGCATTTTTTATTCTTTTTGCTTTTCGTCCAAAATCCCCCTGTAGGAGGACAGGCCCGACTTAAAGCTCGCAAGAGAGCCCGAACGGAGCTCCATGACAGCCCAGGGCGGCCCAACGATGGGCCAGGTGCCTCCGAAGACGGCCCCGCAGGACCCTCTTGGGCCATCTTGAGCTGACGGCAGCCCGAATGGCGAGACTGCGAACATCATTCTAACCCTGTCGGGCGTCATCCTGTGGCAATTCTGGGCCCTCGTGAAGGCATCGTGGGCCGTCTCGAATCGACACTCGGCCGCCTTGGGGCCATATTGGGCCGTCTTCGAGGCAGCTTGGGCCATCGCGGTGTCTTTGGTTGCGTGGCCGGGCCGTCCTGTAAGCCTGGGACGCATATCCATTGTTTGCAACGAGGGGTCGTGGAGTAGGAAGCCCTGGAGCGCTTGGGGGCAGCGCCTGGAAATGCGGGAAGCGCACGGTCCTCGAGCGGGTGCGCTTGGGATGACGGATCTAAGAGCTAGCAGCCCTATTGCACAATCTTCGAGCGGGCGCGCAAAGAACGAGGGTTCAGGCGTTAGTTGCCATGTGGGATGTGCACCATCCTCGAGCGGGCACACATGGAAGGGAGGTTCAAGCATTAGCTGCCATGCGGGAAGTGCACCATCCTCAAGCGGGCATGCGTGGAATGCGGGACTAGGCATTGGCGGCCATGCTGGAAGCGCACCATCCTCGAGCGGGCACGAGGGAAGTGGCCTCGGAAAAGAGGGGCGATGCATGCTGTCTGCGGGTAGAGAGGTGGTCGGCCCAGTTTTGGAATTCGGGAAATCCTACAGACAGCCCCTGGCATTCTTCGACGCCTCCACGTGCCAGGGGACACGGTCCTGCGAGCAGCAGGCAACATGCGGGCCCCTCCGTCGTTCCTGTCAACAGCCAATGCGAAGTGGTCGCGGGGCATTCCCGCATGCTCCAGATTTGGAGGCAAATTGTATGTCAGAAGGTTTCTTGACAGGGATGGTGGAGGTGGGGCGTGCATGAGAGCTCTCATGGGTCCGGGCTGGCTACTGGTAGGGGGTGGGGGAGGGAGTGTTTATTGATAGGGAACCATGGTCAAGTTCCGAGCGGTAACGCCGCAAGCTGTCTCGCTCATTCCCGCCTGCCTTCCCGCGACATAAGCAGCACCCGAGTCTCGGCATAAGTAGGCGCTACAGACAACCATCCGGAACCGCCGCAGACGACAGCCAGGTGCGCGACGCCCTCGAGGTGCGACTCATATGCTAGGTGCGCCACGCGCACCAGGTACGCCACATTGGTCAACATGTCGATCGTCCCCACTATGTCTGTCAAAACCATGAAGCCTGACGGCGGGGCTGCCCGCAGTGTGTGTGTGTGTGTGTTGCGTGTGTGTGTGTGTGTGTGTGTGTGTGTGTGTCTGTGTCTGTGTCTGTGTGTCTGTGTGTCTGTGTGTGTCTGTGTGTGTCTCTGTGTGTGTGTGTGTGTGTGGAGGGGGGGGGGGGCGGGCGGGCGGGCGGGCGGGCGGGCGGGCGGGCGGGCGGGCGGGCGGGCGGGCGCGGGCGGGCGGGCGGGCGGGCGCGCGCGGGCGTGCGCGCGCGCGTGTGTGTGTGTGTGTGTGTGTGTGTGTGTGTCTGTGTGTGTGTCTCTGTGTGTGTGTGTGTGTGTCTGTGTGTGTGTCTGTGTGTGTGTGTGTCTGTGTGTCTGTGTCTGTGTCTGTGTGTGTGTGTGTCTGTGTGTGTACGCATTCATTGCACACTTGTTTTTGACAGGGATGGCGGGCCTGCGCACACGAGGCAATATGCCGCCTCCCCCTTCGCCTTACCTGGCGAAGTGAACGTTGTAGTCCGTTTGTTGTTGACAGGGATCGTGGGCCTGCGCACACCATGAAGTATGCCGCCCCACCCCCGCCGTCCCAATCAACAACTAATGCAGAGTGATCACGTGGCGTCCGCGCATGATCCAGATTTTGGTGCGACATGCAGTTTGTATGGTCGTTTGCAGTGGTTGATAGGGGGGTAGCATCGCACACAGACGGCAATGTGCCGAGACGCCCGCCGTCCTTGCCAGAACCTGTGCACAGCGATGGTGGGGCAACCCGCGCATGATCCAGATGTTGGTGCACAGTGCATTTTGTATGTTGCTTGTGAAGGATGGTGGAGCGGGTGGCATCGCACACAGCAGGCAATCCAGGGCATGCCCGCCGCTCTTGTCAAAACCAAAGCAGGGTGATCGCGGGGCGCCCGCGCACGATCCAGGTTGCGGTGCAAAGTGTACTCCAGATTTCGTAATAAAAGGGAGGGGGTCTGGACCCTCCAAGACAAGCCATTTCAGACCCCCCCCGTGGGAGAACCCTCGAAAACATCGTCCCCAGACCCCCCCAGGCCCTCCAAGATAGCCTGGAAGAGACCCCCCCCGAAATGAGACCCCCCTCCCTTTCTTACGAAATCTGGAGTATGTCTATATGTATATATATATATATATATTCGTCAGGGGCCATGACCCACCCCTTGCATAGACAGGGGGGCGAGGGGGCGCTTGGGAGATGGAAGAACAGACAGCTTCCTGCCAGCCTCGCCCAGAGGGCTGGTGCGATTCTTTGACGCTCCGCGTGGGCCCACGAGACAGTCCAGGACATAGTTCCTTACGGGCGACTTGTCGTGAGAAGGGCAATTTGGGAGCACCAGCGAAGGGGGGCACGGATCAATCCAGAGCTGGGCTCAGCCGGAGGAGCCCCAATGGTGGCCAATTTGGTAACCTCTTGGACGTTTTTTCCGGCCTGACGGGAGCACTTCAGGCTGTGCGTTCCCCTCCCCGTTCCTTTGACGGTGGCATGGGAGCAGCGGGCAGGGCTGGACCTGAACGCTGTGTTGTTGGGCCTCGGCTGAGTTCTGCTTTGTCGCTTTGGGAAGGACGGTACAGGAACACATGTGGAGCAGAACGAAGAACGAAACGAGACCAAAACGAAACACAGCGTTTAGGTCCAGCCCCGGCAAAGGGTGCCACGTTGCTGCGCTCCTGGGGGGTCCGGCGGAGTGCGGTCCGATCCCAGGCAGATCCAGACAGGGCCTCGCCAGGATGCTGCCGGAGGTGCTCGCGCCGCTGCTTTGCTGCGCCCTGCGCAGCTCCAAGCGAGGCCTCCCCTCCAGGCGCTGCCAAGGGTGCATGCGTCTGGCGGCTTGCCAGCATCAGTCCACGCCAGAGGGGGCAATCATCGACACCAGCTTGCAATTTGTTCCAGCCTGTCTGTAGCCCCAGGGGCTTTCCCAATGACATTTTCTTGGGGCGGTCTGGAACCCCGTCGATGTTCCCCAGAGCATCAACAACGGCGGAACAACAAAGCATGTTTTTGTTCGTTATAGCCAGCTCCTTCATGCTATAGGGAGGATGTCAGTCACCAGCGACGAGCATATCCATACCCATTCTTTCGTTGTCCAGATTGCGAGGCGCGACCCCATGGATACGCAATCCCATTTAAACGCTTCGAGCTGTGCATCCGCGCAAAGCTCTTGTTTATCCATGGGGACGCGGCTCCAAAGCCCAGTCTCGCGAGGCCGTGTGTATGTACGCTTGCAGCCTTCGAGGCAAGGAGAAGGAGGAAGGGGACGAGGAGAAGGGCGACGACGAGGATCCAATAATAATAACAATACATTTTCATACATTTGTAGATCACTGCGTGTATTTTCGGGATCGGCACTTCTGACTATTCGTCCCTCTTTGGCTCACAGAGGCGGCGCCGGAGGCGCCGCCAGGGTGGCACAGCGCGGATCCACGTTGTATTTTCATGCCGCTTTAGGGTTTTCTCGGGGAGCACTCGGCCACTGGGGAGGGTAAGGTTGACGAGGCCGACGACAGTTTCGGCGACGACGAGGGCAAGCGGGTTTGGACACAAGCTGAGTTGCAACAAGATCCAAAGCACCAGTTCACTCTCTACAGAATCGTCACCCTGAGCCGAAGAGCCATTGCATTAAACAGATCGTTGAGGCAGTTGTGTGCCTGAATCGCCGATGAGGAGGAGAAGGAAGAGGAGGAGGAGGAGGAGGACGACGACGACGACAGCGGCGACAGCGACGAGGAGCAGGAAACGGGAGGAGGACGTGGAGGAGGAGGATGGCGAGGACGACGAGGAGGGAGGAGGAGGAGGAGCTGGAGGAGGAGGAGAAGGGAGGAGGAACGCGCAGGAGGTAGAGGAGAAGAGGGAGGAGGGAGGAGGAGGAGGAGCTGGAGGAGCTGGGGGAGGAGGAGGAGGAGGGAGGAGGAGGAGCTGGAGGAGGAGCAGAAGGGAGGAGGGACGCGCAGGAGGAGGAGGAGGAGCAGAGGGAGGAGGGGGGGAGGAGGGAGGAGGAGCAGAGGGAGCGCGGCGCAGCCGTGCAGCGGGGCCGCGGCAGCGATGGGGGTGCGAGGGGCGGCCCCCCCCCTGCCCCCGCCGCAGGGCGCCGCCGGGGGGGGCGCCGCGCGAGAGGCGCCAGGCCCCCGCCTCCCGTCGCCGCCCGGGGGGGGGGGCCGCGGAGGCGGGGGCGGCCGAGGCGGGGGCGGCCGCGACGACGACGAGGCAGCAGCGGCGACGACCTCGACGACGGCGACGTGGACGACGGCAGCGACGGCGACGACGGCGACGGAGGACGACGGAGGGCGGCGACGACGGCGACGGAGGGCGGCGGGGGACGGCGGGAGACGACGACGATGATGATTATACATTATGGTGACGATGGCGACGAAGTTGGCGACGACGGCGAGGACGACGACGACGATGACGATGATGGTGACGATGACGATGACGATGACGATGACGATGACGATGATGATGATGATGATGATGATGATGATGATGCTGATGCTGATGCTGATGATGATGATGGTCATGGTCATGGTCATGGTCATGGTCATGGTCATGGTCATGGTCATGGTCATGGTCATGGTCATGGTCATGGTCATGTGATGATGATGATGATGACGATGATGATGATGATGATGATGATGGTCATGGTCATGGTCATGGTCATGGTCACTGTCATGGTCATGTGATGATGATGATGATGATGATGATGATGATGATGATTATGATGATGATGATGATGATGATGATGATGATGATGATGATGATGAGGATGCGGATGAGGATGAGGATGATGATGATGATGATGATGATGATGAGGATGATGAGGATGATGATGATGATGATGATGATGATGATGATGATGATGATGATGATGATGATGATGATGATGATGATGATGAGAGGGGTGCACAAGACAGGGGCGTGGGATGGGAAGAGGAGGAGGATCCGAGCAGAGCGGCAAGTCGTCGCTCCTCTTCCTTCTCCTTCTCCCCATCCCCTGAGGCCGCTTTGTTACCCCGTGGCGATCATTGGCGTCACCGGGGGGGGGGAGGGAGGGGGAGGGGGCATGGTCACGTGGCGATTCGCGCCGGCGCCGTCTGGGGATGCTTACACCCTAGGCGATGCTTAAGAAAACTTACGTTGTCGGCCAGAGTCTCGATTATTCTTAATGTTTCAATGTAAATCCTATGATTTTAATAGAAGTTCTGGGTTTTTATTCAAATTCTGAGACCATGAATTTCTTAACTCGTGATTTCTTAAGCATTTCGCAAGGTGTACGACTGGCAGATCTCCAAATGGCGCTGACGCGCCAGGGAACATTCGAGGCTGGGCCCCCGTGCCAACCTCGACAATCCAGGTGCGGTGCCGCGCAGATCTGCCACCGAGCCAGCGGGAGCGGGCTGGCGAGGCCGCAGTGCGGCAGAGCAGGGCACGGCATTGCGCGATACCCCGATTGCTCCATAGAGAGTCACGCACTCACATTGCCCCGCGCAGATTGCACCACAGAGCGGGCCCACATATTGTCATCGTTGCCGCGGGCATGTGTGGTAGTCGCGATTGGAGGTGTTCGCTCTCTCCCCGGCCAAGGCCCGCACCTTTGGAACCCGAATCCTTCCTCGTCGTCGCCGTCCACCTTTTCTTCCTTTCCTTCCCAATGTCTTCCTGCGCCTGCTCTTGCGCCTACTGTTCCTTCCTCCTGCCTTGTCATCTTGCGCATCCCTTTCTCATCAGCCACCCCCTCCATCTCACATGTACAGCCCCCCGTTCGCATCACACGACGGGGTCGTCTGAGGGATGAAGGTCCGCCAGGACACCCAAGTTGGCGCACAAATGTGGATTCCGCAGAATGGGGAATAACTAATAACTCAAGACAATTCTGCTCGGGAGTGACTAATAGCTAATAACTCAAGACAATGTGGCGTGGACACACCCTCCCGGGTCCGATTATCCAAATGAAATGAGACAAACACAGCTCTGCCTTTACGTCGGGCATGTCCCACTACAGGAGGCATGTTCGAGAATGGCCAGAACATACTCTGGGGACGTTTTTGTTCACATGTGTCTGGTATTTGTGATTTGTTCGTTTGCATATGTTTTACCTGGCATCGCTCGGACGTGTGCATGTTTTTCTCGGCGAGGGCCATCGAGGAGCATCCTTGATCATTTCGCGAAAAAAAAACACGCACGAAGCCGAACAAAAACACGGGGAATGGACGTCCGAGCGATGGCCAGTTTAGCATTCGTCCGACACCCGCCTGCAGGGGGGACGTGCCCGACCGAAGCCCCCACCTCGCAGACGCGTGCTGCTGGCGCTCTCCACGACTGCTCCTCGGGCCACGCGCGCAGTGCCGGGCCCCTCCCGGGGATGCGAGGGGCCGCACCTTCAACGCTCAGGAGGGAAAGAAGCACACAGACACAAAGAATTGTCGACCCCCAGGAACATGTAGGAAAGTATGGGAAGTGGGGGTGGGGAAGACGAACACCCAGAACAGATGGGAACATGTGGGGGATCCTGTCATTCGTGTCTGTGTATTTGCGTGTGTCCCTGGGCCCCTTCAAAGACCAAGCAGCAAAGACCCTGGCGCGCCGCGCGCTCTGACATGTCCGAGCCAGCGAGCGCGAGCGCCCCCAGATGCTGGCGCGCCGTCGAGCTGTGGCGCGCCAGAGAGCCTCCGTGTGGAACCCCTCCCACGCGAGACAGCCCATCCTCGCGCACGCCAGGGCGGGGGACCCATGGATCGTGCATCTCCCGCGGCGGGTCCGGGCCATTTCAGGCCAGCCACAATCGGGGGAGCTGTGGTCCTTATCCCCCTGGGGGACCCATCGATCTCGACACCCCTCTCGAGGGATCGTCGAGGCGATGGGTTCCCCCAGGGGGGTAAGGACCACAGCTCCCCCAGTTGCGGCTGGTCGGCATTTGCGAGTACACCCCAGGCGATGCTTAAGAAAACTTCAGTTTTCGGCCAGAGTCTCGATTATGCGTAATGTTTCCATGTAATTCCTAAGATTTCGATAGAAATTCTGGGTTTTTATTCAAATCCTGAGACTATGAATTTCTTAACCCATGATTTCTTAAGCATTTCGCAGGGTGTAGGGACTCTGCGCGCAGGGGAACGCCCTTTTGTCTACGTGGGCAGGGCGGCCGTGGCCAAAACGGGCGACGCGGTGCGAGAGGCTCTCCCCTTGCCCGCCCTCTGCCAATCGTCGTGCTTGCCCACGGCCCCCGGACGGGCACGGACGAGGTGTCGGGGGTGGACAGAACTTGGTGGTCCCCAAACGTGGTGGTGAGAACACCCGGTGGTGAGTTTTGGGCGATTTGGGTAATGGTTTTCGAGCGCTGGCTGGCCCAGGAAACGCAAAACCTCGTGGCGACCGCGTGTCCCCAAACCCGGTGGTGACCCAGAATTATTTTTTGGGGGAATCGGGGTCACCACCGGGTGTCTCATCACCTGGTTTGGAGACCACCAAAGAACCCCCAACAGTGACACGTCGAGTAGTGAATTGTCCGTTCTCGGTTCTCGAGGGGGCGCCGTGGCCGTTTTTTTCCAGGCCTGCGCCCGCCAGGTTTGGGCCTCGGGACGTTTTCCCTGAACCACGCTTTACTAATGGGGGGTCTGTCCATCCCCGAAGGTGAGGATCGGTTGCAATGTGCCTGTCTGCCTGGGTGAGGGGACCCATTGGGCACAGGGGCCTTCGGCACCATGGGAAGGGCGGGTGGGAGTGGCAGGACATGTCAGATGCAGTGCGGCCGCAATTGGTTTGCGTTTCACTCCCCCTCCACTGCCCTCTTCCACCTCCGTTCCTGCGAGAACGGCGCCCATGCAGCGTACCATGTTAGAGCTCCCTCCAGGCTCCGCTCCAACGCGGCACGGTGCATCGTTTTCAGGCTTTGATCGCTGATAATGAAACGAACCATTCTTGGGTCGAGGATTGACGACGCCTCAGGACACGCCATCGCGGCACCGTGCAGACAAGTCACCCGCGTATTTCCCCCTTGCCCCCATGTGTTCTCCATGCCGTTCTCCCTCACCTCCCCGGCCCCACATATCCACCTCCCCCCAAAAATTGCCCCCCCCATCATCCAATCCATCGGTCCATCGGCCCCTCTCCCCTCCCCTCCCCCCCATCGCTTTCTACTCCTCGCGTCCCCCTCCCCCTTCTGGGAGACTGGGAGGGAGGAGGAGGAGGAGGAGGAGGAGGAGGAGGGGGAGGGGGAGGAAGACGTCGACGACGAGGAGCAGCGGAAGAAGTAGGAAACGGGAGGGGAGGAGGGGCGGCAGACGAGGACGACGAGGAGAGCTCCTTTCCCTCCCACGCTCGCGGGCGGACAGCTCTCCCCGCCCACCGCCCCCACCCTCCAGCAGAAGCCGCCCCGGCCGACCTGGCCGCCGAGAAGGGCACCGAGGAGAAGAAGGACCCACGGGCCACGCCGCCGGCCCGTTTACAGGCAGGTCGTCTCCTCCTCCTCCTCCTTTCCTCCTCCTCGTTCTTCTTCTCCTCCTCCTCCTCGTTCTTCTTCTCCTCCTCCTCCTCCTCCTCCTCCTTATCTCCTCCTCCTCCTCCTCCTCCCTCCTCCTCCTCTCTCCTCCTCCCCTCCTCCTCCTCCTCCTCCTCCTCCTCCTCCTCCTCCTCCTCATCCTCCTCTCGTCGTCGTTCTCCTCCTCCTCCTGGAGGAGAAGAAGGAGTGACCGCACAGTTTTGGGACTTGGGGCGTTCTCCAAGAGTGCCTCGGGGCGACTGGAGCCTCCAGAGCCCCAAGACCGCGCGGTGAGAGCGAGAGACCGCGCGCAGTTTTTCGGGATGTCGAGGTCACCGCATGTCTCGGGCCGGACGAAAGGGGGGGATAGGGAAGGGGGGCGGGTACGAAATCTGCTGCATGCAGCTGGTTTCGGCCCCACCGAGGGGCCCATTCCTCGATGCGTGGCCGCCTCCCGCGCCGGGAGGCGCTGGGAAAATCAGCTACGCGAGCTGATTCTCACCCCCCCCATGCGCCCAGCCCGAATGCAAGGGCACCCTCGAGGGCGCGAAGTGATTCGCGCTTCGCGGTTCGGCTCCGATTCCTCCATCTTCCTCTTCTCCCCTGGGAGGCGGCGCGAGAGCGCGAAGTTGTTCGCACTTCGCGCTTCGCGCAGCGCGAAGCGCGAAGTTGGGAGCCCTTGGAAAGTCAGGGGCAATCGGAGGGAGATGGGCTCCGCAGTCAAGCAGTGGCGAAGCGTCCTGGCTCGCCTATAGCCCCATCAAGCAATGTTTTAAGAACCTTTTGTGGTTCCCACGAAATGTTCTTAGAACATGTCTGGCGGAGTCTGTCTTGTTTTCACACCTCGGGCTTGTGTGCTAAGAACCTTGTTTTTGTTCTCAGAGCATTTTTGTGTTCTAAGAACGCTTCGTGGTAGGACTATAGGAATGCAAGGACGGTCGGTCCCTGCTCAACGCAGGGGCAATCGGAGGGGGACTATAGGAATACGAAGTTGGGAGCCCTTGGAAAGTCAGGGGCAATCGGAGGGGGATGGGCTCCGCCAGGGGGAGGCATCGCCAGCGGATCGCCGGCGGGGGGCCGGTGGCCCGCCCCGCCCCGGAAGGGATGTGCGGGCTCGCGGTCGGGGGCCCGTCGCCGACCCGTCCGCGATGCCCCGCCGAGCGGGGCAACGTCCCCCCCCCGTGAGTCCAGCAGCGGCGGAGCGCCCCGGCTCGCCCATAGCCCTACCACACAATTCGGGGGCGGCACAGAGGGGGGTGATGACTGGGGGGGGGGGGATATCATGGCGGGGGCCATGATATTTCCCCAGATTTCAGGGCGCCTCTTCTTGTTTCATTACGTCCCTGGCCCCCCCGCTGGGCCGCGCACATGCCGCCGGTCATGATTTGCACACCCCCCTCTTGGACACCCCCCTCTTTGGCCGCTCCCGATGAGAACCTTGTGCGGTTTCCACGAAAGGTGCTCAGAACATGCCTGGCGGGGTCTGTCTTGTTTTGTCACATCGGGTTTGTGTTCTGAGAACGTCGTTTGTGTTCTTAGAACATGTTCGGGTTCTACGAGTATTCCGTGGTAGGACTATAGGAATGCCAGGGCGGTCGGTCCCTGCTCAAGTGAGCCAGCCACCACCCTGCTTGTCACCCTGCTGGCCAACTTGGTGACCTCATGTGGACATTTGTTCGGCGAGAACGCAACGCAGTTGCGTTCGGTGTCACAGACACGCGGACCTGGGAACCATTTCCCCCAGCCGCCCCGCCGCTGGCGCCGCGGTTCGCCGCGTTGCCTGTGGTGGGGCGGGCTGGGTTCGGTTGGGGGGGTGCTATTGGGTTGCCTCGCTTCAGGTCTTCATGGACTTCGTGTTCCTCGTCTTGTTCGTGTTCCTTACCCACGTCTCTCTGCGGTGGGGGGAGGGTAAATAGACCCCCGCGTCGCACGCGCCGCCCCGTGGGCGCTTTTCGGCCAAACGCGAGGCCGGCGCCCTCGGTGCGCGCGTGGTCGTGCCGTTGTAGCGGTCTTTGTTTCCCCTCACCCTTCGCCGCTCCTTTGGTTGGGGCGGGGCGCGGGGTGTCGCTGCACCCGCGCGCTCCCGCGGGGAGCGGCGAGCGACGAATGCGTCGCTCGCCCCCCACGCGGGCGCGCGCCTACCCAACGAGCAGCGCTCCCCGCGCTCTCCCCCCAACCCTCGGGTTTTCCAGGGTAGCGTCTTTTGTGGGGCCTGATGGGAGCACCTCCAAGCTGCGCGCGCCCCTCCCCGTTCTGTGACGTTGGCATGGGAACAACGGGCAGGGCTGGACCTAAACTCTGTTTTGCTGGACTTCGGCTCTGCGTTTAGCTTTTCATTTTGGCAGGGAGACGATGCAGGAAAACAGGCAGAGCAGAACGAACCACAAAGCGAACGCACAAAACGAAACTCAGCGTTTGGGCCCAGCTTTGCCTCAGCATGACATGTCACCACAGCGATCGGAGGCCTCGGAGAGTCTGTCTTTGCCCCCTCTTGGCCCCCGTCTCCCCGCGCTTCGCCCGGGGAATCGAGCGGCTGAGACCCGCGCGTTCAGCGAAGAGCAGCGTCAGCAGTGCTCGCTCGGTCGGCACCTTTGAGCAGCGCCCAGCCCTGTGCACCTCGCCTTCATTCTTCGATGTTCGTTTCGGCGGCCTCCGCGGGCGCACCCAACTGGGATATCCTACTCTGGCTCGACACAATCTCACGCTTGACCCAGGTCCGACCAAAACCGACGGGCAGCACCGACGCACGAGTGCAACGAGAAGCTCCAGGATGGTCCCCAGTCGCCAGAACGAGCATCGAATCGTGCCCCTCTTGGCTGCAACTCCTGGGAGGTTGACTTGGGCATCGACGCGGGTCTGTCCGCGATCGAGGACTGCCCGTAGTCCTTGTTCGTCAGGCCCAATCTGAGTTTGAAGTTGGTTCAATCTGGCGCAGTGGCCCCGCAAGCGGGCTGCGCGGCGCATCAACTCGCTCCCACACAGATTTCCCAGGCGTTGCCCCCCAAAGCTCAGTGTCGCTCAACCGACCCCCATCCTCATCCACATCCCCTTCGAGATCCCCGCCAAATTTCCACGAAACCCGAACAGGATGGCCCTGGAAACCCCTCGAAACCCAGTTGTGGATAACTGCGCCCCTCGAAGCCCGAACAGGACGGCGCGCATCCCCATAAGGGGGGGCACATCGGCCAGTGGGGCCCCAGGCCACGCCGCTGGCTGCATCCTCATCCTGCGGCCGCGGCGCCCGAGGCACCCGCCAGGCCCGCCGGCTCCCAGAGCTCCCCGACCTCCGTCCCGTCCGGGCTCATCGTCGGCCTGACGTTGTCGCATCCAGGGGTCTCTCGGAGGGCGATGCAGCCAGGACGCTGAGATTAGGAACGGTTTGGATCCGGAAGGGGTTCGATGTTCCTTACGTCCTTCCGCGGTTGCTCCTCTAGCCCTTCTCGTACACCCAAGCTTTTTTGAAGCCGCAGAGGGGTTTCGTCCCTTATTTCGCGTTCCTTGTTTCAGCAGCCCGACTGTAGACCTCCTACCTTGACACGTTGATGAGCGAATCGGCCGTGTTCGGTTCGCGAGAGGGCGTCGCGGCCGTCACTGTTGCGGGTCTGGGTCCACAGGTCTCGGCCTTGGGCCGTTTTCACTCTGAAGGGTGGTTTACCACAGGGAGGTTTGTCCACCGCCGATTCCCGCGTCGGAAGCCGGGCAATGGCTGCCAAATCCGTGGCTGCTAAATTTGACCTCCGGGAAGTTGTCTTCGTCCTTCCGGGAAGATGCCCGTTGAGTGTTTCGCGTGCCGCGTCTCATTCCGGGAAGTTGTTTTTTTCCTTCCGGGAGGGCCGTTTTGGCAACCACGGTTTTACCAGCCCTCGCCCGGCTTCCGAGCCTGGCCCCCGGCCCTCCTCCGAGCTCGTCTGCGCCCTGGCTGGAGGACCGACCCCCCTGGCGGCGGCGGCGGCGGCAGGGGGCGGCGCCCCCGCGCCAGGAGGACTGAGGTCTCCACGGCGCGAGCCCCCGTGGGCCGTGGGGCGGGAGCGGGCGCCGCCAGCCGTCGGCGGCGGGG